GGCCTCCGCCGTCCGCCTGGAGGCCACGGCCAGGGCCCCGTCCCTTCCCCAAGCCACTACCTGGGAGGACCGAGACGGGGCCTCGGGACAGCCCAGAGATGACGGGGGTGGCCCACCGCCACCCTTCTGCCCGCACACCCTGAGGGCAGAGCTGCCTGGCCTCTGGGGGGGTCTGTGGGGGGGGCCAGACTGCTGACCCCTTGGAGCGGGGAGTCCCAGCCCTGTCTCCTGGGCCCTTCAGGTCATCCCCCAAGGGGTCACCCCCAGCCCCTGCATCCCCTGCTGTCTGGTCATCACTGAGGACCGCCTCTTCACGTGCCATGAAGATTGCCAGACCAGCTTCTTCCGCTCCCTGGGCACCGCCAAGCTGGCCGACATCAGCGCGGTCTCCACGGAGTCCGGCAAGGAGTACTGTGTCTTGGTGAGCCGGGTGGGGGCGCTGGCGGCCGCGGCCGCCACGCGGTCTGCTCACGGGACGCCTCTCCCTAGGAGTTCTCCCAGGACGGCCCGCAGCCCCTTCCTCCCTGGGTCATCTACCTGAGCTGCACGTCTGAACTGGACCGATTCCTGTCGGCGCTCAACTCTGGGTGGAAAACCATCTACCAGGTACCTCGCGGCCCGGCCCGCCCGGCCCTGGGGAGGCCCCTGCGGCCAGGGCCAGGCCCGGCCTAGCACAGAGGCGGGAGTCGGGGGCCTGGGGACCCAGCAGCGCTAGGACCAGCAAAGGGCGAGACTCTGGCCCCGCCGAGTCTGAGGCTGACGCTGGAGCTGGAGCGGAGGCGGCGGCCTCGCCTCGGCCCATCAGAGGGCTGCGGGCAGCGGCGCCCAGGCGGGCACCCTTCCTCGCCCTCAGGCGCAAGGCCGGCAAGCGGCTGGGACACGCACGCGTGTGTGGAGGGCGGCTTCCTGGGCCCCCCGAGAACGGGGCCCACGGGAAGGGGGAGGCCCAGGGCGAGTCCTCCGTGCACGCGAACCCCCTTGAGCAGCAGCCTCGCCACAGTTCCGGGGTGAGGCTGCACTGTGGGTGAGCCTCCGTGCCGCCCGCTCTCGTGGGGGTCCTCACGGCCTCTCTGCGCCGCCAGGTGGACCTGCCCCGGAAGGCCATCCCGGAGGCCTCCAGCAAGAAGTTCGAGGACGCCCTGAGCCTCATCCACAGCGCCTGGCAGCGGAGCGACAGCCTGTGCCGCGGCAGAGCCTCCCGGGACCCCTGGTGCTGAGGCGGGGCCGGGAGGCAGCCGGAGGGGAGCAGCCGCCCCAGGGCAGAGCCTGGGAGGGGCGTAGGACGCGCCCCTGTGGGTCGGGAAGGGGCTCCGCCCCCTGGGCATCCTGCGACAGCGACCAGAGCTGGGGAGAGGGTCTGAGCCGTGGGCTCTGCGAGTGTGCGCGCAGCTGAGGGGAGCGGCCGCGGCCGCGCGCTGCGGGCTGTGCAGGAAGCGGAGCGCCCGCCTCAGTGCATGTTTCTCCTCTCTAACCACCCGGTGCCGCTGCCGCGGTGCCGGCAGGGGTGGGGGGCTGGCTGCCCCGCCCTGCGGGGCGTGCCCGTGGGGCCCCAGCCGAGACTCCCCTGGGGCGGGAGCTAGGCGGCGGCAGAGAGACGGAGAGGAGCCTCCCGCCCCCCGGTGCCCTGGCACCTCCCCACCGGCCCTGCTGGCTGGGCCTGGGCCTTCTCGAGAGTTTCTGACTGGGGGAAAGGGTCAGGCAGTCTGGGGTTGTTTTTTAAATAAAATAGACGTTATATTGCCGGGACTCGTCGCTGACACTCCTTGGCCGACGGAGGCCGCGCCCCTCCCTCGGCCCTCTCCCCCCGCGGTGCTGACCCTTCGGCTGCCCCCCACGCCACCCACTCGCTGGCCCGGGCGCTCAGGTCCTGGGGGTTTCTTGGGTGAACTCTGCCCTCCCTGCTGTTTCTTGCTGTGGCCAAGAGAAGGGCAGCGTCCAGCTGCACTCCCGGCTCCCGGCTCCCAGCTGTGGGGGTGAGTGCCAGCCCCTCAGGATAAACCCCGGCGGGTCCGGTCTCCCGCTCAGGCCTCCTGTTGAGCTGCCCCCGAACAGGCCAGAGGGCCCAAGTCAGCCAGGCCGGGCGAGCTCAAGCCCTCCCGCCGCTCCCCGGCGACCCCTGGCGCCTCACACCCGGGAGGGGTGTCGAGCCTGCTCCTGGGTGCCAGGCCGGTGGCCCTGCCACTGCTCCGGGGAGCACTTGGGTGATGTGGGCTGGCCCTGGCAGGGGGAGGCCACCGTGGGCAGCGGGTGCTGGCCCCACCTGCGCACGCCGGCACCTACAGTGGTGCCCGGGACCCTTCTCGCCAGACACAGGGGCCATTTCCTTGCCAGGGCCCGTCAGGGCGCAGGAGGGGCCGCCAACAGGCAGCCAGGACTGGGGTCCCGCCCCGAGCCAGCGAGCGAGCAGAACCAGGAGGCCGCTCCCGGGGCACGACAGCCCTCTTTCTCCTGCCCGCCCTGAAGTCTTGTGGGGCGGAATAGGGAGGTGTCCGAGGCAGGGGGTTCACTGGGTGAAGCACTGTGCTGGGCGTGCTCGTCACCCCTCTCTGATTCTCCGAAGACCCTCAGAAGGAGGCACTGATAGCCCCGTGCTATGGAAGCCCAGAGAGAGGTGACTCCCCCAGGGTCAACATGTGGGGGCACAGAATGGAAGACTGAGGCCAGGAAGGGGGCGTCCACCGACTGACGGGGGCCCAGGAGGGCAGAGCACACTCTGGAGCGATTCCCAGGCCCTGCGCTGCAGGAGCGGCTAGCCAGGGGCTGCGGGGCCCCTGCCCTCTCCCAGAGCAGGAGGCAGAGCGGAGGCGAGAAGGACAGGAGGCGTCTGGGCAGCCTGGCAGCGCCCTCCCTCGGCCTCCCTCCGACCTTTCCCCCAGATCCCAGGGCCCAGACCCGCCCTGCCAGCTGGGAGGTGTGGAGGACAGAGGCCCCCGGGGATTGGTCAGGGCGGGTGGGGGCGTGTCCTGGGCTTGCCAGCCGCTGCCCAGCAGGTGAACTCCCTGGTAGGACGGACCAGACCGGGCCAGAGACCAGGGACAGCCTGGCGGCCACGGCCTAGCCCACCAGAACCTGCTCTCCAGGCATGGCCCTGGGCCCCTTCAATCCCCAGCCCTTTGGCCCTGTGGGGGTGCAGACAGCCTAAGCAGCAGCACCCCGGACCTGCCATGCCTCCGACCCCGGCACAGCCAGCCCCCGGCTCGGAGGTGGTGACCCCCGCGGTGGACCTGGTGCTGGGCGCCTCGGCTTGCTGCCTGGCTTGTGTCTTCACCAACCCCCTGGAGGTGGTGAAGACGCGGCTTCAGCTGCAGGGGGAACTGCAGGCCCGGGGCACCTACCCGCAGCCCTACCGGGGCTTTGTGGCCTCCGTGGCCGCCGTGGCCCGTGCGGACGGGCTGTGCGGCCTGCAGAAGGGGCTGGCCGCCGGCCTCCTCTACCAGGGCGTCATGAACGGCGTCCGCTTCTACTGCTACAGCCTGGCGGGCCAGGCTGGCCTCACCCAGCAGCCGGGGGGCACCGTGGTCGCGGGCGCTGTGGCTGGGGCGCTGGGGGCCTTCGTGGGGAGCCCTGCTTACCTGGTAAGTGCCTTGTCTCCCTGGGGACCAGGGGGCTCCATGGCCTCCCAGGCTGGGTGTAGTGAGGTGGGGCAGGCTGGGGGAGGCTGCTCCCCAGAACAACCCGGTCCAGACCTGGAGTCTGCCCCTTGGTCCAGGGCACCAGGGCCTTGACTAAGCCTCGCTCCCCTGGGGTTCCTTCCCCTGGTCCTGAGCTGGGGGGAGGCAGGAGGGCTGACTCAGTGCAGCCGGGCACCTGCCTCGCTGTGTGGCCAGCGCTCACAGAGTCACTGTTCGGCATGCCCTGCCCTGAGCCGCCACCTCAGCCCTTGCACTGCCTGTCAAGGGTGAGAAGGTGCCCCTGGAAGGTCAAACAGTGTGCCCAGCTCACTCTGGGGGGCACTTCTCCATCCTCTCCTAAGCTGAGACGGTGGGGGGCTTAGGAGTAAGCCTAAGGGAGGGTGCCCCCAGTGGGCACTGCCCATCCAGGCTCTCTAGGACGCTGTCTCAGGCCCTCTGTCCCTGTGCCCTCACAGGTCAAAACGCAGCTGCAGGCCCAGACGGTGGCTGCGATGGCCGTAGGGTACCAGCACCAGCACCAGGTGGGTCGTCCCTCGACCCCCAGGGTGCCTGGTCTCGGGGAACTGGGTGGGCTCCAGAGCTGCCAGGGGCTGCCCTGTGACCCCGGGTTCTCTGCCCACAGAGCATTCTGGGCGCCTTGGAGACCATCTGGCGGCAGCAGGGCCTGGCGGGGCTGTGGCGGGGCGTGGGCGGGGCCGTGCCCCGAGTCATGGTCGGCTCAGCCGCCCAGCTGGCCACCTTCGCCTCCGCCAAGGCCTGGGTGCAAGAGCAACAGGTGAGGGCCGGGGGCGGCTGCACCCACCCTCGGACACAGGCGTGAAGAGGCCACCGGCCTCCTTGTCCCGCTCGTTGGGCCCACATTCTCCCTGATCCCCAGCTGGACCCCCACATGAGGAAGCTCCAGCGGGTCATGGGGACTCCTGAAAAAGTGGGCACCCTGCCTCTGCCCTCATGGTGATAGCGCGGAGAATGTAAAGGGCTCGGGGTGATGGGCTGGGAGTGGCTGGTGGGTCCCCGTCTGCTCTGGCCCCTCTCCAACCCCCGAGTGCTGGGGAGGTGGGTGGACAGAGGGCAGCCACAGGGGTCACAGCCGGCACGGTGCCCACAGTGGCTCCCCGAGGACAGCTGGCTGGTGGCCCTGGCCGGAGGCATGATCAGCAGCATCGCCGTGGTGGCCGTCATGACCCCCTTCGATGTGATCAGCACCCGGCTGTACAATCAGCCGGTGGATGGCGCTGGCAGGGTGAGCAGGGGCGGGTGGGGCGGGAGGATGGGCGCGCCCCACAGAGCCAGGGGCCGCAGGCACGGGGCAGGGGTGCAAGCTCATTGGCGCTGCTCGCTGCTGAGCACCGACGCTCCAGGCCGAGTGCAGGAGGCACTTTCGCATCCAGATTCTGTGTCCCTCGTAACCGCCCTCACTTTCCCCGGGGGAGGCGGCTCAGGGACTCGCCTGAGGTTGTCCAGCAGGTAAGGGAGCAGCCCGCGTGGGAATCCAGGCCTGACTGCTCGACCTCATGCAGGCGCATGCACGCAGCTTCCGGAGGGCCGGGGCAGGTGAGACAGGTGCCCTCCACAGGGCACCTGAGCCAGCCAGGAGGGCACCCGTGTGCCACTAGCCCAGCAGAAAGCCCTGGCGTGGGCTGTGCCTGCCGGAGGAAGAGGCTCCTGTATAGCGTCACGGCCTAAAAGGCCACTGCCCTGTACCTTGCCCACCTTGGGGCAGGGGAGGGGCGCCTTCCCTTCTGAGGTGCCAGCAGAAGCCCCGGCACACCCAGCGGGGTGCCAGCAGAAGCCCCGGCACACCCAGCGGGGCCCCAGGGCCCCGCACCCCCCCCCAGTGACACCTGCGCATGTCTGTCCCCAGGGCCAGCTGTACCAGGGCCTTGCCGACTGCCTGGTGAAGATCTGGCGGCAGGAGGGCCCGCTGGCGCTCTACAAGGGCCTGGGCCCCGCCTGCCTGCGCCTGGGCCCCCACACCATCCTCAGCATGCTGTTCTGGGATGAGCTCCGCAACCTGGTGGGGCGGTGCCGGCCCCGGGACCCCTAGTGCCCCCCCACTGCCAGGGCTCTGCAGCAGCCGTGGCCCACTCAGGGAGAGGGGGCGCCCCGACCTGGCCAGGTTGGGGACCGTGCAGATAAGGCGCCAACCGCGTGCCTCCCAGGCCAGAGCGCGGCCCTGAGTCACCACCCGCTCTGTTCTCCAGAAAGTTCCCTTCCCTCTCTCTGCCCTGGGTCACTGCACCCCAGCCCGACTCCTGCTTAGGTGACTGCTCCAGGCCGGGCCCTCCAGCAACGCGAGCCCGGCCGAAATCCCTCCTGGGAGGACGCCAGTGCTCTGGAAGGTGACCTGGCTGCCGCCCAAGCCACCCCCAGGGTCAGCCAGGGCTGGAGCAGGACTCACCTGCCCCACTGCACCCTCGGCCAGGCCACCTCTGTGCCAGGCCCCCCGCGGCTAAGGGGGGCTTGAGGGGCAGCTGCTGGGGTGCACCGTGGGGCTGCTATCTGGGGTCCAGCCCTGAGAGCAGAGACCCCTCTTACTGCTGTGGGGAGATGGCCCAGCTAGGGAGTCACAGGGCCGGTCTCTCCTGGGCTTCTGGCCCCCCAGGGTCACCCCGCAGGACACTGTCATATTGGATCCCACCCCCTGGGGCAGCTGGGAGCTAAATGACCTCGTTAGAGACCGGAGGTGCCGGGAGGAGGCCGGCGCTTCCATAGTTGAACTTGTGCGGACACGGCTCAGCCACGACATCAGCTAAGGGCCCGCGGGCCGCCGCTCCACCGTGGCCGTGGTTTAGACGAGGAGACAGCCCGGGGCGGAGAGAGCTGGTGTCCTCGTCCCACGGAGTCCACGGAGTCCTCATCCTTTCCCCGGGCAGCAGCCACCCTCCCCGGGCTGGCTCCCTCAGCCAGGCCGACCTCTGCGCTACGGAGAGGACCCCCGGCCCGAGGGGAGCTGCCCGGGGCTACCCCACTGTACACTCCAATAAAGCTTTCTATTTTGTTTACTGCAGTGACCCCCCTCTGCTGACAGGCTCCGTCTCCCCCACATTTGCTCCCTCTCCCAAAGATCGTGGTCCACCAGTCCTACCCTGCCCTGCCCAGGTCAGGCCTGCCACCTAGTGGACAGGGAAGTCGAGGCCGCTGCCCCGGGCCTGGGAGGGTCAGCTTAGGTGGGAGCTCAGGCGCCCTCCCTGCAACCCCAGGCTGAGTGTGGAGCCCACCTCAGGGTATGGGGTCTGACAGACCCCCTTCCAGACTTAGGCTGAGCGCAGAGCCTGACTCAGGCCTGGACAGCACGTGACGGGCCTCGGCCGCAGGACGGCGCCTGTGGGAGACCCAGGGAGGGTGGGAAAAGCCGGCCCCAGACTGGCTGGGACAGAGGCCAGACACCAGTCCCGGCTGCTGCGATTGGCTCCCGGTGCCCCTTACCCTGCAGGGGGACGGCCAAAGCCCTGGGCTTCCCTCCCTCCCCTGGTCCTTTGACCCTCGGCGCCCCTCCCCTCCCCTCTCCCCTCCCTCGGGCACCTTTGCCCAGTGACGTCAGTCTCTCCATGTGGACCTGACCGGAGGCTGGGGCTGGGTCCCGGCAGCCATGTTCTCCCTGCCGTCCCTCCCCTCCTGGGTCAGCCTCCCCTCCCTCCAGTGGGGCTCCAGCCTCCTGGACCCCCTCCTACAAGGTGAGCACACCCCACCCCCATCAGCCCTGCCCCTCTGGGCACCCTGGGCCCAAGGGTGGCCCCACCCCTTGGGTCTCCAGCACCAGGCTGACCTCCCTAACCCTACCGCTGGCATCCTCTACCCGCTCAGGCCTCACCGGGGCCTGTGGAGTGTCCGTTCTCACCAGCCTCCTGAAGGTCTACTTCTTCGTGGGCTGTGCCAAGTAAGTGCCCACCACCCCTGCCCGCTCCTGGCCCCTGGTCAGGCCCTGGACCGTGGGCTGTGGCCCTGGCCTCTGCAGGGAAGGTGGAGGGACGAGACAGCCCTCCAGCCCTCCCTCCGGAGAGAGCGCTGGGGTCCCTGGGAGCCTCAGGGCTGGGGCTGCCCCCCTGCCCACACCCACTCTTGCCCCCACAGCAACCCAAAACGGCAGCTTGAGAAGGAGCGACTGCGGGCCCAGTGGGCCTCCCTGGAGACAGCGCACCTGGCAGGGCTGGCCCTGATTCTGACCGTCGTGGGGGCCCGCGTGGCGGCCCTGGTGGTGCTGGAGTTCTCCCTCAGGGCTGTCTCCACGCTGCTCTCGCAGGACAAGGTGAGGACAGGGGCGTGTCACTGGCCAACGCCCTGGCTTCACCGCCCCCGCACTGGGGAAGCCGGTCCCCGCACGTGAGAGAGCCAGCGGAGTGGGCAGACAGCTCCCGTGGGCGTTGACAACCAAAGCCCGGTGTCCACTCTGAGTAGAGTCCCAGGAAGGTGCTAGCAACAGCTCTGGGGTGGGCGACTCCAGGTGCCAGGCACCTGCAGGGTCTCAGCCTCACAACCTGGGGCGCCACGCTGCGCTGGGACTTCAGGTGGGGACAGAGCGAGGGTGTCCCCAGTCATAGGACGCCCGGAGCAGTGCGCGCCTTGGGGTACCTGAGGCTTGGCCGAAGGCGGTCCCTCTGGGGAAGGAGCCCCAAGTTTTCTGCAGGCCCCGGGCCCCACAGACCAGGGCTGGCAGCGCCGTGGGGTGGGAGCCTGAGGCCGGTCACCTCCCTCCTGCCGCCTCCCCCAGGGCTCCCGGGGCACCCAGAGGCTGCAGCTCTACCTGCTGAGCCAGTTCTCGCTGGGCTGCGGGCTGACCTGCGGCCTGAGCTTCCTGCACGAGGGCGCCCCGCACGGCACGCTCGGCCTGCTGCTGGGGCTCCTGCTGGCCGCGCTGCTGGCCAGGGCCGCCCGGCGCCTGCGCGCCCACGTCTGCCGCCTCTACGAGCTGCACAGCGCCCAGCACTACTGCGGGCTCTGCCTGGGCCTGCTGGCCGGCCGCGACGACCTGCCCCGGCTGCTGGGCCGCGCGCTGGCCCTGGCCTTCGTCGTGGGCGACCTGGCGGCTGTGGCCCTCATCAACCGGGACTTCCTGACCACCTCGGAGGCCGTGCGCTTCTGGACGCCTCTCACCATCTGCTACACCCTGCTGGTCATCTACATGCAGGGTGAGGGCCTGGGCCGGCGGCGGGCGGGGCGGCTCAGCCTGGGCGGTCACATGCCACTGCCAGCGCCCCAGCTCGGCCAGGCTGGAGCAGGTCACTCTGCAGGGCGCTGTGTGGTGGGGGCCTAAAGAGAGGCCTGGGCCTGGGGGAAATAAGAGGTAGCCCTGACGGTGGAGGGAACCTGGATGCCAGAGGTGAGAGATTCAATAGAGGCAGACAGCAGCGGTAGGCTCCGTCCCAGCACCCCGGGGCAGGAGGAGGTTCAGAGGGCCCTCGAGGGGCAGGGAGACGCTGATGCAGGCCTTGGGGGGGGGGCCGCATCAGAGCTGGCCTTTAGGAAGAGCAGCCTCACCTGGCCGCAGGGTGGGGCTGGGGCACAGGAGGCAGGAGGACACCAGTCAGCCAAAGAGCAGGCCAAGGTCCCTGCAGTGGAAACGCTGGGCTGTGCCAGACGAACAGGGAGCCCTGGGTGGCCGGGGGTGGCGGGGGCGCGAGGCAGAGGGGGTGGCTTCGACAGCAGGTGATGCTGGGCAGCACCGGGGAGGCCAGGTAAGGCGTCAGGAGTCTCTTCAGACCCAGCAGAGTCCTGGGAGGAGCGTAAGCAGAGCAGAGCTCCCGCTCGCTCGTTGCTGTGTTTAGACCGGTCGCGAGCAGAGGCCAGGAGCCCAGTGGGGAGGGGGCCGCCGGACGCCGAGGTGGCCCGGCCCAGGCTCAGTGGGAGTGCCGGGAGGCCTCAGGCGGGCATCCACAGGGCTCAGAGGTGGGGTGCAGCAGGCGCAAGGGAAGGGACCCAGGCTCGCACTGGGGAGGGCAGGTGGGGGCCTGGATGTGGGGGTGACAGGCCCCGCTCTTCACAGAGGAGCAGCGACTGCACCCCGGGCTGCAGGGCCAGGTCCAGACAGTGCTGGTGCGTATGGGCGGCCTCTTTGTGCTGCTGCTGACCGTGGGCAGCTGGCTGGACCTCCTGGGTGTCTTTGTCTCCCTCCTGGGCGAGCTCTGGTGCCTGGTGGGCGTCCGCACCCTGATCGACCTCTGCCAGATACAGGTGGGCGGCCTTCCCTGAGGCCCCAGACATGAAGCCCCTTCCCAGACAGCCCTGGGAGCCTCCCCTCTGGTGGGGGCTGGGGGTAACAGGAGCTGGAACCCCCTCCCTCATTGTCCTCCTACACCGTGGCCCCTAGCAGTGGGGGGCTGACAGCTTCCCCGCCCCATCCAGACTCCTCTCGATTTTGTGCCCTCAAATGGGAGTAAGGTCCCCAAGAAATGCAGGCCTGAGACTCCCTCCCAGGTTAAGGGGGGCTGAGTGGTGCTCTGAATCCTTTTCTCCCCGCCCGCCCTCAGGATTTTCCATCCCAGAGGCCTGCTGCACCTGTTTCAGACCAGCGCCCGCCTGCAGCTCCTGACCAGCCCCAGCAAACCGCCCCCTCCTGACCTGCCTCGACAAGGGCTTGGCATCCGTCTGAGGCCGCTGGGCTCACGTGGAGGACTTAACTCCAGGACACTGCCTGGAAACGGCGTGGCAGGCCTGGCCCCTGCTGGCTGGTGCACCTACAGGCTGTGGGTCATCTCTCTTCCTCAGGACAGGCCGTGGCTAGAGACCCTCAGCTGCCTTGCTAGGAGGGCTGAGGGGGTGGGGGAGACCTACACCCCAGAATGGCTTCCCCTTTCCCAGCCTCCCTTGTCCTCTCCATGAGCAATAAAAATGATTTGCAACCCGTGCTTAGAATCATGAGCTCACAGAGGGAAGGAGGCTTTTTCTTTTTTCTTGGAGTGGGTGAGGGGCTGTGTGCTGGGCTGGGCTCCTGGGGGACAAGACCCCCAGTAGACAGAGAAAGGGAGTCCCTGCGGTGACCGGAGGGCTGGGCAGCCATGGTGCACGGTGCCATGCCCAGGCTGAGAAACAGCTGCAGGGAACACCATGCTGGGAAGGGCTCGAAAGGGCCCCTGGGCCCGGCCCTGACGGTGAGGATCTCACCTGCCTTGGCCCCATTCAGCCTGCAGCCGCTGCAGGACGGGCTTCCGGAGGCTGCAGAGCTGGCCAACACAGTCGGGGTGCCAGCTCTGCCCTGCGGGCTCTGCAGGATGCGCCCCGGTAGGCTGCCGCTCCTCTCTGAACCTGTGGGAGCAGCGATCACGTGCTGGGTGATTGCCACGTGCTGGGCAGTTGTCTCATCTTGACATTGTTAGGCCTCCACTCGCCTCGAGAGGCAGGTAACAGCATCTCATTTTGCAGATTCAGAAACTGAGGCTCCAGGAGGTTAATGACGTGTTCAAGGGCACACAGCCTGCTTGAAGCAGACAGGCTTTGCGGGCCCTCCCTGGTGGTGCAAGGGGTTAAGCTCTGTGAAGCTCCCTGCAGCCACTGCTCCGCCCGCCTACTGCTCCCCTCAGCGTGTATTTCAGTCCATCTGCCTGTGCTGCTCCCCACTGTCTCTGGGGAATCCTCTCACCCCCTGCACCTCTGGCCTGCACCCCAGCTCTTGTGTGCATAAACAAATAAATCTTTTTTTAAAAAGGTCAGGATTTGAATCCAGGTGGCCTGACCCCGAGTTCAAGTGCTTCTCACGCTCCCTGCTTCCTTGTTGAGGACCTAGGTCAGGAAAATGAGGGAAGTGGACATGACAAACGCGGGATCTGGGATGGGGTGCCAGCCCCTTTGGAGCAGGGTAGTCTGAGGTGCTGGCATGTTCCTCTGGCCCAGGCACCCAGTTTGGCTCCATAGGGACTGAGGACCCCAGTTTGAGGACTCTTCCCAAGAACAGCCCCACCAAGCAAAGGTGGCCCCCAAGGGGGCTTCCAAGGGGTTGTGAGGGTCAAGTTGTCCTGGAGGGGCAGCTGAGGTGAGGTGAGGCCAGGAGAAGGGGCCAGGCACACCCAAGACTGACCGGTCTCCCGCTCAGCAAGGGCCACCACAGTCACAGAAGGCCACTCCTCGGAGCAGGCCGGGCTGCCGCAGGACACGCTGGGCCCCCACAGACGCAAGGGCCACTGGACCAAGGTTGGGCAGGTAGTTTTGACTTAACCCATCAGGAATGGCCACCTAATGGCCAGCTTGAGCAGACCTCTGGCCTCTGACCTTTAAGAGGGCCTCTTCACCTTTAAGAGGGCCTCTTCACCTGGGCGCTGGGGTCAGGAGATGCCTGTGGGTACAGGGCCCAGGCCTGCCACCTGGGAGTGTGCCCAGTGAGCTCTGGGCAGGAAACGTTCAGGGAGGAAGCGGCTCAGCGGGGTGGGCGCAGGTCCAGCCCACCTCAGACCCAGACTGGGCATCGGGCTCCAGCCCCAGCCTGTTGTTTTTGCTGGAACTTACTCCAGCCTCTGGCCCCCGCTTCTTGGACCGGGGACGGGGCTGGGAGGGGATCGACTCACTGGTCCTTTCCTTTTTATGGGCACTGGGGCCGTTTCCAAACAAAAATTGGGCCACGTGGGCTGGAATAGGATTCTTTTCTTATCTATCAATTTATTTTCGTAAAAAGCCTGACAAGGGTTTAAAATGAGATCACTCTCAGTGAGGCAATGAGCAATCTCCATGGCAAACAAAGAAACAGGCCTGAAGTTCAGCAGGCAGAGGAAATGGGACCCCAGTGGTCTGGGGCAGGGGCACAGAGCTGGGACCTGAGGCCTTCCCAAGGGGTGGGACTCTGGAGCCCCCACCCCTGCCTGGAGGGGATGGTGACTGCTGGGGTGAGCCCCCACCTGCCTCAGCACTCTGAAGAATAAAGCTGGGGGCCTCCCTGTTGGCGGAGGGGTTAAGTCTCAGTGCTGTCACCATTGGGCCTGACTTTGATCCCCCACCCCAGGGGCTCAAACTGGCTGGATCCTGATCAATTAGGTGTAGGCCAGAGAGAGCAGCTCACTTGAACTTCACTTGCTAATGGCTGTTCCCTGTGCTGCGCATTTTTCTTGCTTTATTCCTACCCCTTCCCCCCTCCCCTCCCAGCCCCAGTTCTAAAGAACAACCCATGAGGACTTGACTGTTTTTCTCTGCCCAGGAGATAAATCCAAGATTCAGAGAGATTAAGTGACTTAGTCAAGGTCACAGAGCTGATGAGTCGGGGCGCCAGGACCCAAAGCCCAGTGACTCTGACTCCAAAGCCCAAGCTCTTAACGGCTTGCTACCCTTGATGTATGTGTCACGCAACTTGCATGTGCAATGACCTGGGGTCCCCTTACTCCCGCACTGAGCCTCAGTGCCGAGCACTGAGCTGCACGCTGGGACACAGAAATCAGTGACGCAATCAGCTGCCACTCCGGGGTTGGGGGGAGCACCTTGGGGGCACCCAGGGACATATACATGGGATAGAAATGACCCCTAAGTGTACCTGCAGGACTCGGGGCAAGCTTCTCAGAAGTGCTGATGGGCTACAATGCTTGCCAGGTGGAGATGACCCAGACCTATGCAATCTCACCGGTCTTCACCATCACTCTGCCATAAACAATAGAAATACAGCTTTGACTGTGTGGAGAAAAAGCAAGAAAAATAATGCAGGGCCCCCCTGGTGGCGGGGGCTAAAGTCTCAGTGCTAACAAGCTATCAGCAGCCACTGCAGCAGGAGTTCAGTCCTCAGCTAGGGAGCTGAACCACATGGTGCACCAGACCTCTCCTGTCTCCCCACTGCTCCCCTCAGCAGTGTATTTCAATAGATCTGCCAGTTCTGTTCCCCATGCTGTCTCTGGTGAATCCTCTCACCCCCTCACCCATGGCCTACACCCACCCCAGTTCTTGTATGCATAAAAAAAAATTAAGTAAAAGAAAGCATTGGTTCAGAGATCCAAAGGGAGGACTTCAGGCATGGCTGGATCCAGCAGTTTTTCCAGTGATTAAATTTCTATCATCTTTGCTCTCCTATCCTCTGTGTTAATGCAAGTGATGGCGAAAACGATGCCAAAGGCCCTCTCTGGTGTCGCAACAGGTTAAAGCACAGCACTATGAAGCGATCCGCAGCCCCTGCAGCATGGGTTCGATCCCCAGCCGGGAGCTGACCCACAGGGCGAGGCTGACCTCTCCTGACCCACCCACCGCTCCCCTCAGCAGTGTACCGCATCAGTCTGCCTGTTCTGCTCCCCACTCTGTCTCTGGTGAATCCTCTCACCCCCTGCACTTTTGGCCTGTACCCCAGTTTCTGTGTGCATAAATAAATCATTTTTTTAAAAATGGTGCCAAGCTTGCATTTTTTGTCAGCCTAAGAAAATGATGCCTCTTTCCAAATATTTATAGCTAGGAACTAAGAGTAGTATAAAGTTCCCCAAGTAGAAATTGGTTACCAGAATCCTGGAAAGTGCTGCTGACAGGCAGGAACTGTGATGTCCCTTGGAATCTCTAAAGGGATGGGTCTCTTCCTCACCTTCTTCCCGTTGAGATAACCTGTCAAACCTCTTTCCTCCATGTGATGGAAAGAGCAAAGAAACACCCTCAGCACCTACTGAGCCCCAGGCACAGCTGTCCACATTCATCCCATCAAATCCCCACGGGAAACCACAGTGAGGTGCTGCTCCCCCAGTGCCAGGTTATCAGAGGAAACTGAGGTTCAGAGAGAAGTGAGTTACCCAAACTAGCCCCTCAGATTGTGAGCTGTGAATCGTTGTTCATGTTATGTCTGTACTGGCCTGCCAACCTGCTCCAGTGGCGGGGGGGGGGGGGGGGTGCTCTGCCTTCTCTGTACGGATGCCCCCCACCGCTGCATAGGGCCCTACGCACAGTAGTGCTCGGGACCGCAGAACCTGACTCCAAGCTGGCACAGCGGAGTGCAGGAGGTGGGGCAGGAGCCGCGCCGGGAGGCTCAGTGCTTCTGGCCCCTACCTCACCTCCGCGTAGGTGAAGCAGCCACATGCAGGGACGACAGCAGGGGCCCAGCTCCCGGTCCTTAGGTCCTGGCCCTGGTCAGGGCTGTCCAGCCTGTCCTCTCCCCATTCAGGTGCCCAGAGGGTGAGTGGCGGGGGCTTGTCTCAACATAACCCTTACCGGAGATCTTGGCCTGGGCGAGATCTGGGCTGCCAGGCAGGGGTGACGCTGCAGTAGCGTTGCAGGCCGAACCCCCCACTTCCCTGGAAGTTCCGTGGGGCACTGACTATGTCTGACCTGACTCCTCCTATGGGCTCCGTGGCTCACTCCTGGCACACAGTAGGTACCCACCCCACCAGCGTTTGTTGGATCAGTGCCACGCAGGTAGGCAGCAGGTGCCGTGCCAGGGACGGTCCCCACTGGCCTAGAGCTGCCCCAGACCTCTGTCCCACAGCTTCTCTGCTGCCCTGGGTCTCCACGGCCACAGCCCTTCTAGAAGAGCGAGTCCCTTTGCTCGCTGTCTTGGGAGAAAGCTGGTCCAAGGCCGGTCCGAGGCCTGTCCGAGGCTGACCATGCTGGAGGCGGGGAGCCAGGCCTCTGAGCTGGCAGACAAAGGGAGTGTGTCCTCGCCGGGTACACTTCCTGGGTTTCCATTGCAGGAAGTTTGGCACCTGCCGAGGTGACACCGATGCCAGGGCTGGTGCAGGAGACCTTGGCCAGGACACTGTCCTCCACCCAGGAGCAACAGTAGAGGTGGAACAGGTGGCCAGGTGGCCAGGTGACCCTCCCCACCCCCTCCCCCCCAGCCAGCCTTAACTCAGAGCACACAATGTGTAAGGCCTAGACAGTGTCGGTGTGGCCTGCACGAGACTCACATTGATGATTTGGGGTCTCATGCTTCCATCCAGGGGTGCAGTGAGGTAGC